CTCTCTCTCTCTCTCTCTCTCTCTCTCTCTCTCTCTCTCTCTCTCTCTCTCTCTCTCTCTCTCTCTCTCTCTCTCTCTCTCTCTTCCTTGGTCTTCTTCTTCGTCGTGGTCTTCTCTGCAGGTGCGCGGCGGCTTCTCCAACCTCCAGGTCCGCTATGGCGGGCTATGGCTCTCGGCGGCCACCTCTGCTATGGCGCATCACTCCTGCGACACACAACTCAATGCGTGGAATAGCGGGTACCAGCTCCGATACCAATGCAATCAGACTTGCTCTCATTCACACTTTACATGCATGGGAACAGTAGCACAGCAAACTGGCGACATGCGCCCACTCAAAACTCAGAGATATGACAACCCAGATAAGAGTTCACTTCCAATGGCTATGGCGACTCAGCGCCCAAACAACTCTCTGTTCGCATACACTGGATCACCCTGGATATCCCACACGCGTCCCTCTGAACCCTCACACATACACACACACACTTCACACTAACTCTAGCTATGGCGGCTATGGCCGCAACTACTCTATCGCTACGCTACGCTCCTTCTCTCTCGCCCACTTCAGCTCCGGGCTCACTGCAGACCTCCTTGCACAAGTCACTGTGGCAGCGCTTCCGCATGGCTCACGCAGGAATGAATGAATGAATGGCTGGGCGCTGCCTCTTGATTTATACTTCTGAAGCTCGTTGGTCTGCCCCTTTCCATCGGCCCATGGTGCTCACAGTCTCTCGTGGTACTTGCTGGACCGGACTGGGACTGACTGGACCTTACCGCTGACTGACTGGGGACTCACTGCTAACCTCCCGAGGTCGCACTGCAATCGTACTGCAGTTAGTCCACCACTTGGCTCACCACTTGCCCACTTGCCCACTTGCCCACTTGCCGACCTTCTAGAAGGACTACAGCTAAGACTTCTGGAACTGACTAAGACTTCTATTCTACAGATCTACAGATCGAACCCCTGCTACCTACGGACCTATGGCAGCCTACCAACTGTTTACGAATACACAGGTCACAGGTTCAACTCTCCGGGTCTACGCAGGTACTGTACATGGGTAGGGTGAGGTCTAGGGATCGAGCCCCGGAATCTGCATCTGCTACTGCAAAAGGTGAAAACCGTTTCATCCATTAAAATTGGAACGGTACAGAGAAGATTAGCATGGGTCCTGCACAAGGGGGGGGCGGGAGGGGAAGGGTAAAACCTGGCAGATTTAGAACTGCTGGCAGTTGCACACATCAGGCAAAATTGTTGTATGGCCTACTTCCACCCTTACTAAAAAAGGATCCAGATTGACTTGGGCATGTGCAAAACACCTGTGCTGCAAGATGCATGGATGGAAAGTAGTGATATTGGAAGCAGTCCAGGAGCGAATGTTGCAAGAGGTCGTCGAAAGGGAAGAGAGACTTGAGAGATTAACTGCTAATTGGAGTTCGGTGTGATGTGTTTGCAGGGAGCGTTCGTATGGAGTTGTAGCATGCTGATTGCAGAGGTATGTAATGACCCGCCAAAACACAGACTGAGAACACTGCTGATTTCTGGGATTTGCCGCTGGAATGAATGCCTCGCTGAGATTCTCGCATTCTGCTGTGATTTCTAAGTCTGTGTGTGTGTGCGTGCCTGCTGGTTTGCGTGCCTGTCTGAGTGCTTGTCTGCTGAGTGTGTGTGTGACCTGCAAGGGTACTTGTTGGTTGAAAGGCCCCGCAGGGCCGGTATTTACCTGTGGCCGTGACTTTGAGGGTTGCAGCGGGGAAAAAAAAAACACTCAAGTAGCGGGGGTAGGCCCACGACACTTAGAGCAGCTGGAAAAACACTCAAGTAGCAGGTAGGCCGGTACCACTAAAGTCGTGGTAGAAGTGTCGGGTACTCGAGGCCAAGCAGAAGAAGACAAAAGTTGGCATTTTTAGAGGCCCAAGTAGCGGTAGGTTAGAGGTAGGCCGGTACCAGTCCAAGTAGCCTGAGTCTAGAGCCTGTCCGGACGATAGCAGAGCCTGCAATGATGTTTCTCTCCGAAAGGGAGGAGGTACCAGTTGCTGGGAGGCCGCTCGGCCTAGGAAGTCACCCCCCAAGAGGCCAGGAGGCTGCTCTATCTTCAGGAGGAGCATGCAGGCGACATGCTGCTGGAGCCAAGCGCTGGACTTGGGAAGCGCTGCCTGGAGGAGAAGAGCAGCTGGGCGCTCAGCCCAGCCTGAGGAGGAGGAGGAAGGGGGCGAAGGAGGAGAGTGGCGAGGTACCTACCTGGCTATGGTGGACACCATCTTCATCACCTTGTTGGGCGCTGCATCTGGAAGGCCCCAGTTGGGGTAGTGCCACAGGCAGAGTCAGGCATGGTGGCTTAGTGAGCAGCGGCATAGCTGCTTTGGGTTGTCCTTTGGACAGGAGTGCAGCCACATAGCTGCTTTGCGTTGTCCTTTGCACAGGAGGGCAGAGCCCTCAGTAGTCCGCCATAGCCTAGGCATGTGAGAGGAGGAAGAAGGGGGGAAGCCATCTGGGCCTAAGACCTCCTCTGTGCAAGCATGGATTCAAACCGGCAACCTTGGCCTCAAGAGGTCTCTTAACCACTACAGCCAGCACAGAGTGTTCAAAAGTGGAACCATACCGATCTGGATAGCCATACTGCCCCTGCAAGGCTGTAGTGTCCAACTCAACACAACACCACACGGACGCGGCAATTCTTGCACACTTCCATCCAATCAGCACGAGTTCGCCCAGTGGTACTTATACCTTGTCACTTAAGTAGGTCTTATCAACACCCGCAAGTTCCATGGTCGTATTCCACAGTAGTTATAGATCCGTACATCTGGCACTAAGACCTCCTCCGTGCAAGCAGCGTTCAAACCGGCGACCTCGGCCTCAAGAGCCGAGTCTCTTAACAACGACAACCAGGACACGGTGTTCAAAAGTGGAACCATACCGATCTGGATAGCCATACTGCCCCTGCAAGGCTGTAGTGTCCAACTCAACACAACACCACACGGACGCGGCAATTCTTGCACACTTCCATCCAATCAGCACGAGTTCGCCCAGTGGTACTTATACCTTGTCACTTAAGTAGGTCTTATCAACACCCGCAAGTTCCATGGTCGTATTCCACAGTAGTTATAGATCCGTACATCTGGCACTAAGACCTCCTCCGTGCAAGCAGCGTTCAAACCGGCGACCTCGGCCTCAAGAGCCGAGTCTCTTAACAACGACAACCAGGACACGGTGTTCAAAAGTGGAACCATACCGATCTGGATAGCCATACTGCCCCTGCAAGGCTGTAGTGTCCAACTCAACACAACACCACACGGACGCGGCAATTCTTGCACACTTCCATCCAATCAGCACGAGTTCGCCCAGTGGTACTTATACCTTGTCACTTAAGTAGGTCTTATCAACACCCGCAAGTTCCATGGTCGTATTCCACAGTAGTTATAGATCCGTACATCTGGCACTAAGACCTCCTCCGTGCAAGCAGCGTTCAAACCGGCGACCTCGGCCTCAAGAGCCGAGTCTCTTAACAACGACAACCAGGACACGGTGTTCAAAAGTGGAACCATACCGATCTGGATAGCCATACTGCCCCTGCAAGGCTGTAGTGTCCAACTCAACACAACACCACACGGACGCGGCAATTCTTGCACACTTCCATCCAATCAGCACGAGTTCGCCCAGTGGTACTTATACCTTGTCACTTAAGTAGGTCTTATCAACACCCGCAAGTTCCATGGTCGTATTCCACAGTAGTTATAGATCCGTACAT